TGGGGCGGCGGGGCCGGGCCCGGGCGGCGCCGCTGGAGCCGCGTCGCAGTCGGCTCCCGCAGCACGGTTTTCCCCTCCCAGGGCCGGGCCCGAGCGCTCCGTTAAAGACACTCTGCGAGCACTTAAACTACTCGGACTGTGAGATCGGGGCAGGTGAAGGCTTCCAGCAAGCATTATCTTTTCGCACTCCCTTCATAAAGCAGTTAAGATGGTTACACAGCTAACACCCCCCTTTGAAGGATGGGAGCAGCCACCAGAGTTAAGCCTGGTGTAGGTTCTTCAACATAGATCCCTGTCCATTAAACTACTCCAGTTTCTCTTCAGGGTATCAAGTTTTATTAGAGGATTATTCATCTCTAGAAATAAACCAAATTCCCTGTGAACCGTTAACCCCTTCAGTCTTCAAAATACAAAGTACCGGCTTCCGCCCCTCCTCCCTCCTTCCCTTTACATTGGAGTTGATCCCTATAGCTTTAAATACCCGAGTCTGAACAAAAGTAGCAAGTCTTCCACAAGGTAAGAGCATAGACCATTCAGTCAAATAAAACTTGCACTTAAATCCCAAGAGAGAGCAGCTATCACTGATAACAATATATGCCTCTGGATCCAAGCAGCCATGCCCGGACTAATAATTACCCCTCTGAAGAAAATGATACTCAGATGGTCAGAGAGATGGATGATTATCATAACACAAAGTTCAGATATCAATACAAGTGTTTGATCCAAAGTCCGTCTAACCCTGGAGCCCACCTCGGACAAGGACCTGTAGCAGCACTTCCCAAGGAAGACACACTTTTTACACAAAACCAACTACTGCTTCTACTCGAGACAGTTGAGGAGGGCTCCAAGAAGCCACCAGCAGAGTTTGAACAACTCCTGAGCAGAGTGCACTGCCACACGCTGCAGACAACTACAGCCTCCCACCAGTCAGCCAGAATCACGTCCTGAGAAGTGACAAGAACAAAGGACCCCCCCCAAAAAAAAAAATTAAGGAAAAGCCAAATACAAAAGACCTACTATCTCATTTAAGACAAACTAAGACCGACTCGTTTGTTATCTTTATTTTTCCAATAGTACATTTAAACAACTTCTCAGGACTAACCTCCTCAGCCAGTTTGGCCATGCAGAAAACATTTCCTAGGTTATACAGATTGCCTACGACAACACATACAACAGGTGGCGGTTGTACTGCAGAGTAGAGAAGGGCAGTTGTGTAGGAGGAGGCAGCTGGAGTAACACAAAAGCGCATGGCGCAGTGGCAGTGCTGCAGGTGCTAGCGGAGGTCACTGACTGGGGCTCCTCAGTGGCACAAAAAGAGGAAGGGTGGTGGTACACAAAGAGCTTCTAACCATTTCTTCTTAGAAACATTTTAATACCTGCTAATATCTGAACTAGAGACCCCTCCTGTGGCTGAGAAGTGTAGCTGCACGTCTAATGCTGCTTTCAGAACTGCATTTTAGATCTTTAATTAAGATGCATGAAAACAGGAGTCAGATATCAAAGCATGCACTCAGTATTCCGTGAACATGTCTTGTGGCCATGCACGACAGGAACAACTAGCCCCAGGACCTCTGAGAGTGTAAGTTCGGAGGAGCATAGCACACAGCGTTCTTGTATTTGATCAAAAGTCCTCCCCTGCAATAAATACAAATTAAAACCACAAAGCTCGAGTGTTCTCAAAGCATCTAAGCTGACCACAGCCCATGCAATTAGTTCTGAGACTCGAAGGAGCTACTTCATTAAAAATATGACTTAATTTCAACAGTATCTCCAGACATGCAGATGCCAGACCGTATGTGTTTATCAAACTATTACTTAAAAGCCCTGCCCTGAAGCACTTTCGGTGAATGCTTTATCTACTGATTCTATAGGTGGGACCCAACTTTGAATTTCCAACAGCAATCGGAGTTTAACAGCACAACTATCCACGTCAAGAGAAGGAACTTTAGCAGTTCTCTAGCTTTAAAAACTTTTGCCCTCTTAAAAATCAGATTAAGAAAAATAGTGTAATCTATTCTTTGAAACTATTACATAGGTATTTCTAACATCCTTTTGATGTGAGCATGGCTTTATTTCACCTACTTTAGGCAAAGAAATGTAGCTGTTATTTGCCAGCTGCATGTATTAGTTTGATTCCAATTCCACGGATAAAAAGCCACCCTGCAGCTCCCAGCAGGGAAGTCCATGCTCACTAATAGGAACTAGTGGTATAAAAGCTCAGCCACTGCAAAATGGACATTTCTGGTTCTTCTCCAACTTTATGAAAGCATCCTGCATACATTTTCCCCTTGGCAATGAAAGGTGAACCATCTACATTTTTGTATAGGTGGCAGTTTGGGGTTAGTCATTTGCAGTCCTTTCTATGACTACCGCACATGGTTGTAAACACTTCAACAACCCAGCTTTGTGCTCGAGCCCACAGCATTACTAATCTACTAATTTAACACTTCCACAGTACCAGAGAGGAAAATTGCATAAGCATGTTCACCATTGAAATCACTGCAGGATTAACTAGGAGGAAAAATAAAAACCTTCAAAAATCATAAATATCTTTAATTACAAGGCTGGTAAGGCAAGTTATGAAAAAAACACAAGATTTTGCTTTAAGATCAGGTTGCCTTCAAATATGGAAGTCTCTATGATAGGAAGCACAAGTACTCAGTGGTGAGCTACTAACACTACGGACCTATGCTGTGTTCAATCCTAAATTGCTATTTTATACTTTTAAAAATGTCATTCACCACCTAAACAACCTGGGGACAGCTCTCCTCTACTAGGAAGCATACCGCTGTCACAGAGACTCTGCTAGAATTAAGACACCAATTTTAAGTGAAAACCCCAACAGTTCTGTATCAGCTCTGGAAGCACAAGTGGAGTATTTTCAATCATGGGCGATCTCAATACATACAAGCTTCACACAGCAAGAGCCAGAAATGCTTAGCTCCCACTTAGGCTCCTGAAAAAAAGCTGGCAGGTTAGCAGTAGCGAGCAGCTCCTAGTCAGGCGTTTAAGTAGGAAGCACTGGGTGCTGAGCTTCTCACATTCTGACTTGATGACAGATTTATTTATGCCAGATAGTAGGAGATTTGCACTGACATGAAGTGTTTCAAAGGTTTCAAACAGTGAGAATCTTCAGATACATGAGAACTACAGAAAATTAAAGAGCCCATTGATTTAAGGGGTGAAGCACTTAAAAAACCCCAACAACGTTTTTATGTTTAAAATAATTAAAAACCAGCATTCCAGTATGTCACCTCCAAATAAAATCCTGGATTTTGTGGGCTGTATAGAATTCTGTTTCTTTTCGATGTAGAATTACTTTCTTTGGAAACAAAGATCTATAGCATCACCTTCACTTAAACTGATTTCCACCACAGGAAATTATTAGACAGTTAAATACCTTCATGCCAATTGTACAGGAACAAAAATTTAAATTTCTTTCAGTGTAAACAACTTCATATTTAGAAAACTCCAGAACACCAAGGTCTTCCAAATCTCCTTTTGCTTAGGTCTAATAAGTTTGATCCAAGAGCAAATGTTATTAGGAGAGATTTTGTACCAGAAACTTAAAATCACAAATAGCTGTCATGTGTGGATTCCCTATAGTGATTTCTGATTTTCAGCAAAACTGCCTTACAAAGACTCATTAATATGCTCACCCTTTTGGGAAGAACACAGTTCTTGTTTCATCATTTATCAGACAGCAGACAACTACACTGGGCATAGGCAAATCATAATGTAGAGAATTTACTTAAACTCCACCCCTCTCCCCTGCCATACATATGATAAATCTGCACTTTGAGCCAAATTTAAATACAGAATAATGAACCAGTAATTATCTTGTAAGTGAACCAACACTAGTTTGTATTCTTCCCTGAATAACACTTTTTTTTGCAAAAGAAAAAAAAAGGACTGCTACAGAAACACAGCAACATTCAAACCCTTTAAAACAAAAGGTAGATTATTTAATGCATTAACGATGTTAATCTGAAGATAAATAAATCCACAACAGACTTTTAAGTTTCTTTTGAGATTTCCTTTTTCTTTGCAGAGAATATTTCTGATATTATACAGTACTGAGAGGGTGTTCTTTTATTTTCTTAATGTCCAGGTGAAAAGCAAAGCTCAGTTCTCTCTGCTCTCCTCGTGGGACTCCTCAATGCCCTATTCCAGGCGTGACTCTTTCATAAGCTTTTACTTGAAAGCGGAGTGGTGAGCAACATTAATTTCAGGAATAACTGGATGGTTTGGTCCCTGAGTCATCTTCTTGAGAGCCCATACTCTGGAAAGGAGAGAGTTATTTCTTTTCAAAAACAGGTCTGAAGGTTTACCTTGAAGACACACAGTTCTTTGAAGTTAACAGGTAGGAAAATAAAGTGGATATGAAATAACATACATTTCCTTTTTGTTTTAAAGCATGATGTTTATGCACATATCATTAGTAGTAATATGTAATTATTCACACTGTAAACACAGACATTCAGTGCAATATACACTCACTTCACTGAATCTCTTACAAGACACTAAATCAATTACCTTCTGCACAAACTGAGGGTTCACAGTGATCTCTTGATCCATGGCTTTCAGTCGTTCGTCAAGCTCTATACATTTCAGCATCTTAAAAATACATATTAAGCCGATTACTTTGTCCAGCTTGTACTTGATCTTCAAGATATTTCATGGCTGTGCTATATAGAACCAGTAACTTTTGCCATCAAAAAAGCTCCATGTCAAAATGTTCTCATCCCTCATCTCCCAAACAAAAGCATCAGACGCCTTTTTTATTCTCTTATTTTGATCCATATCCTCCTAACAACCCTTTTTAAGGCTACTGACAGACAGTCCTGTGTGGGTCAGCCACCTCAACCTACAGACAGGTTATCGACAGCCAGTGGAAGTGGTCCTTGAAGTCTAAAACTCTAAAAACAACCTTCCTAATCCATTCAATTCAAGGTACTTCCCATCACCAACAGTAAGCAGGCAATCTACTGAAACTTCTCAAGCTGTACAGAAAATACAACAGGGAATGCATTGACAGTAATTGACTATCATTCTAAAACTTTTAAATACTGTGAAACAGTTAAATAATGACTCGTAGTCCTCAATCTCTACATGTAAGTTACCTACACTGGCTTCTCCCAGCAGCTCTCTGATTACAGACTACAGTTCTTCTGTAGGAATTCCAAAAGCAGTTAGTATCTTAAAGATTTACCTCCTGATCAATGTTATGAAGCATAGCTGGATTGTTATATTTTTCAGGATTATCATGGAAACAGACCATACCATCTTTCTGATTAATACTTGCAAAGATTTCACCATCTTCTATCTGAAATGAGAGAGGGTTTAATGTAAGGTATCACTACAGAATTTCAGATAACTACATTTCATGTAACTACAACATACAGAATTTCAGGTAACTATAATATACAGACTCCTTGTGGAAACATCTTTAACTTGTTTCCTTTTTACTTCCTAACAGCTTCCCAAAGTGCCTTATCTTAAGGGAAGAGTATCTTTTAAGATTTGAGAACAGTCTAAATACCGCAGCAGACTGACAGTATTTCCTTCACCCTGAAAAAGAACTGTTCTTCAGCCACATTCAGAACAGGCACCGCCAAGCCAAACACTTAATGACTCTTATGCTGGATCAATTTTTAAATTAGAATAGTTTAGCCAAGTCACAATTCTTACCATGTGGAGGACGTATTTTTCTGCTTCTTGGGGCCCCGACAACTGCACTCGACTTGCCATGTCTTGTAATGACAATGTTAAAAATGTCTGAAATTTAGAAAGCATCAAGCAGTTAAAACTAGATGTTAAGAACTTTCCCTATCCATCCTTCATGGTTTATGAAATCTTATCTTTGAAGTCTAATGGGAAGAAACAAGTGGATCACAGAGTCGTTACTTATAAAAGCCCCATGAGAGTGGAGTCAGCTCTTCCTCCAAAGACATTAATTTTTTATTTTGTGCATGTATGCAGACCACACTAATGGAACCACTACTCCATTTCTGCAATTCCTTTTTACCCCGGACTCAGTTCTGACCACGTCCAACCTCTTCTTACAGGAATAAGATGACCATCCATCCCTTGAATTTCCTTCAAAAGATGCATGTATTGCTTTCCTTCTGAGGTTAGTTCTACTGCAACAAACATCATTTGAGCTTGCAAAAAAGAGAGCTTTCCCCTGACCATCTTTAAGGATTAATCTGATCTCTCAGCTGAAGGAGCACATCCCTCCACCACTTCTGGTTTTCCTTTTACTTCAGACACTTTGAGAATCTGTCCTATTCACTCACTCTTCTCTAATGAAGCCACCTGTAAAGTTCAGTTTTCATATAATTTGAATAGAGAGGAAGGTCACTGTGTAGCAGCGCTCACAATTTTTTTATTATGTATGAAAATCTCGTGGGCAAAGCCCTCTGACAGACATATCGAACCACCTTTTAAATAATGCATATGTAACCAGCTGGACTGGTTTTCTATACAGGGAATTTTAGTTTCATTTGTTTGAGACACAGATCTCAGTTTTAGTCATTTCTCCATGACACTGCTATGTTATCATTTTGCTGTGAATTGAATACAATTCAGAGATACACTCTTTGAGAAAAACTAATCATAGTTTCTCAGCAAAACAAACCCACTACATCTTACCTTGGTTAGCCTCTGAATATTCTTTTTGTAGAGAGATGACAGGCATTGCTTAACCAGCCCCATATTGTTATCCCTTGTGAATGTTTCACTGTGTTTGTTCACCAGATTTCGAAGCTCCGAGGGTTTATTGGTTGAATAAACTTGCGCTAATTCATGGTAAGCATTGCTAAGGGGCTGCAATTAGAAAAAATGAGAACCCTTCTTAAAGGACACAGTGTTCAACCAGCCTCACAAAATCTATTCACTACTTCAACATTAGAAGCTATGCAGGCATAAAATACATGATGTCCACCCATGGCTTTACAGCAATACAATACAATCATCATACACTAAATATGTATTACTGCAACGTAAGACTTAGTAAACATCACTCAAGGCTCTCTGTATGACAATTCTAGCTATGGCAGTGCTAGAAAAAGTCCATTAGATGCCCAGCATATGAATTAAGCTGAACTCAAGGTAAGCAGCCTATTGACTCGTCACTGCCCACCCACTATATTTGTTTTCCCCTCTAAGACACTGTCATCCTTGACCACAATGCATCACAGCAATGCACATCAGAGAATCAGAAGGTGAAGACTAGCTCACCTAAATTACTTTAAAATGGCAACTGTTTGAGCTTGCTTATTAGTCTCTGAAGTCAGAAGATTTTTGGAACTCTAAAATTTTGGTCAAAAAACAACAAATTCAGTGTTAAATAAGAACTAGCTTTTAAAAGTGTTACTTACCTAGGAGCAGAACTCTTTCATTAGCAGTTTTGTCTTCCACCCTACACCTCCTCAGAAAGCTTACAGACTCCAAATTTGCAGCTTTTCAGCAGCTTTTATTCTTTATAAAGCTGGAGTTTTGGAATAAACTATTCAGCATTCCCTATTTAGATGAAGTTACAGCTTGGATGCTTATACAAGGGCACCGCATACTAAAAGCCAAGTGAAACCTGAGTTTTGTTTGAGTTTGAACATAAAATGCCATCATGGGATGTGCAGTATCAGCGGAGAGTATATCGGTAAGTACTATTCAACCCTAAAGTTTTTCCAAATTCAAGTTTAAAAACCTTTATCACCACTATGAATGATACAGTTTGTTTGTAATAGATGTAGCAGTTGCCAGACAATCCTTAGCTACTGTACACTAGAAACGCAGCAAGAGGCTGTACTCTGACACACTGTGCGTTACTTCCCATGCTCTGCAGTGTTAAACAGTACCATCAAATGAGGCTAGGGAAAAAAAAAAAAATCATTTACCAATTCAGATTTGGTGTTCTATTATTTAGCTGTATTCACAAGACTTACCTTAATGAATCTACCAACTATCTGGGAAGTGTATTTTGGTAGCTGCTGAACTTTGCCAAGTAGTATCAAAGAAACTAGAATATACTTTTTATATGATTCCAACATAATATGACTGACTGCCATGGCTGGAGTAGTTATTGCCTAAGCAAGAAAAAGAAATGGAATAGAAATTCAGTATACTTACTGGTGGATCCTGGTAGCTACTGCATTAACAAAAATCTCAGTTTGAAGCTGCATGCAGGAAGGATACAATGACACATGAAATTCACTTTTGAGCATTAAAGCTTAACTAACTTCTGTCAAAATGAATTATAAAAGTAAATTCTAAACAAGCTACTCAAAACATATCATGTTACAGCAATGCATACCTTAAAATAACCCTGTTAAGATCAAATCAAAACTTCTTTCCTTGGTATATATCTAAAGCTGTACTTGAAATCGCCTGTAGCTACTTGTTACCAGGAATGATTATTCAGTTCCTGCAGAACCTGCATTTACATAGATCCTTAAAGATGTTTTATAAAGCTATTACATCATCAGATCTCATATTTAAGTATGCTGAAAGAGGACTGCAGAACAGGGAAAGGGCTTTTAGTTTACTGTGATACTGCTAGCTACTCAAGAAGCTGACCCTTGTTTACAGAAAAGAAAAATCCTGCACCAGTTTATTTTGCACATTTGACAGTGTTTCCCTCTCATACACATATACAAGTTTCTCTATTTTGCAATTTTCTCTTCTTTCACAGAGAAAGTAAAAGCAGCAAATATCACAATAGCCTTTCAGGGGAGTTATACTTCTTCACTTCAACAAACGTCTTAGCAAAACCACTGGACTATTTTTTCTTTAAGAATACACAATGCTGAATGTCAGCCCGTGAACTGTTTCTACACTAACAGTAATAAGCAGGCATCTGAAAAATATTTATAGTGAGATAAATTTAACATCAACCTTTGAGTTGCATAGTTTTATGGTGGGATAGTTACTTGGTTTTAAGAGACCTTCTTAAACGAAAACACTTCTAGAGACAGTTTGCTTGTTACTTCACTTTATACACTGAAGAGTACCTTCAGGCTGTACCTTTCATAAAGGAGTTAATAGTGAACACAAACCCAAATCAGTTTTTATGTGTTGCTATGATGAACACACATGGTAAACCAAAACCCATGTGAACGATGAACAGCAGAATTGATCTGCCCCTAGATTTATATGCTTAAGAATGAAAATAATTGGAGACTGCATGTACTTCATGTCAGGTTCAGGGCTTTTATTGCTATCCTTGGTGGCAATTCAAAGATGCTATGTCCTCTCAGCAGTACTACACATGCTACTTTGGCCTTTCAACTGATCATGCTTTAGACTTACCATTTTATTTAAAGTTACCTGTTCATAAAAGTAGAGTGCTCTTTCAAAGTTCTTTAGCCCAGTGTATATCATCCCACCATAGTAGTAGTAACATAAAAAGTGCTTCGCATCATATGCCCCATTCTCTTTACAAATATCCATCATGTCCACATCTAGATACGGGAGGGCAGGTTTAAAGCATTTTGCTAACAAACAGAGCTACAAGAAAATAAATCAAGTTTTCATAATTAGCCATTTCCATTCAAATCTCCACGAGGAAGAAGCTGAAACTAAATTAATCTAATACTATTTAATAAATCTCACTCCTCCGAGAGTGAAAAGACAGTGCACGTCAGTAGTGCTGTAAGACAGGTTATTCACTGTACCATGATATCTGGAAAACCCTTATCACAGATTGTGAACTGTTATAAGTTATCTGAATCCCAAAGAAATTACTCTGACAAAGCTGTTTGAAACTCCAGGCCTTTCAGACAACAGTGCTGGAAGCACTAAATATTGCACTGAACATTCCTGTCCAACCCTAAATCCCAGGAGCCAAGAACGAGACAGAAGTGCAAATCCAGGCCAAAGACACCAAGACAAACATGCCTTTTGTCAAACTTGAGCAAACAGTGTCTGGATATTACACTTACACTGCCTAAGACAAGCTGTGTGACTTTCAGCCCAGAGAGAAGGGATGTCAAAGGACTTTCAGAAGTCATCGACAAAAGCAAAGATATGGGGACATGCACTGAACATTTAAAATTAATAGAAGGGGACTTTATTTCAGTATGACATATTATTTATTACGAAAAAAAACCCAGTTAAAAGCCATTTTTACATTGCAATATGCAAACATGTATTTCCTCAAAGAGTTATAGGTATTTTATAGGCTTTGTCTCTCACAAAAAACCCTTATGCTCCCCTTACCTGGCAGAGATCTGCGTGTATTGAGGTCAGCTGGTTTGTGTTCATCTGCATCTTGTCTATGGCTTGTCTGAGAATGCTAATTCCTCGCAGGGGCTGTCAGAAATTACATCTCTTTCAGATAATTTCTCATAGATGGCAGCACATTGGATCTTATGTTGGCACTTACAAATGAAAAATAACACTAATTGACAGGTTCCATTAAGTAATAGTTAACTTGAGGTTCCCTTTTGTAGGATACTGCAGTCTCTCAGAAAATAAAATTAACCTTGGCTATACAGCTTCTGATAAACTAAAGTCATCAATTCTGCTCCACAAAGCCAACCTCATCAGGAATACAGTGATTTGCATCAATAAGAAAAAGCTTTCTTGACTCCATGACACCACCTAAACTCCCACCAAATAACAAAGGCAAAGCTCTCACTTTACTCCACTTTGACCAAACCTGATCTCTAGTTCTACTTCAGGCTAGATTTCACTAAAGTGGCCTGAGAAAAGTCAGTATCTTAGCAACAAAACCATCTGTCAGATATTTTTTCATCAAGTTTTCTTTACATTTTAAGTCTTATCATTAAGAACATTATATAACACTGGTGAGAATAACACTGAAACTCGTACCACTGACTCACCAACGCTAATAATTTTTACAGCTCTCTCCTACTCTGCACACACACGGTATGAAGAACATTCCTGGTACTACAGATTTCCTAGTCTGTGTGAGAGCGCATGTTTTCAGGTGACTTCTCCCCCCCACAAATTTATCTTCCTTACATTTTCCTTAAAGAAATCTTTTTTTGGTTTAGGTTCATTACCTCTCAGTAAACTTAAATAATGAGCTGCATAAAAATACTTAATGTGAAGTTAGCAGCAAATCTTTACGAAGCGATTAAGAGACTGGCAACATCCCCTTTAAGAGTGTGGATATGCAGGTAGTTTATCGGTACTAGATGATACTTGCTCACCTGTTTTCTCTCCACAAGGGCATTTGTTAACTGGTGGCACAGGCCAGCAACTAAATACAGTAAAAAACAAACAAAAAACCCAACACAATGAAAAATCAGCAATACCAAGCTATACAAAAATATATAAAGTCTGAAAGTAAGCTTAACTTACAAGTGTCTGTTGCATATCTAATGTGTTCCCCATTACAAGTGCTGATAAAAAGCTGCACCTGTGAGAATAATGTTTCGAAGTCAGGGATGCTGGGCATAGAAAACTTCACAAACCTAAAACAAACAAACAAAAAAGGCTTAGCACTTAACATTTGGAGATTAATAAAAAAGCTTCATCTTCACTGCTAAGTCTCTGCAGATGCATGTAGATGCTTGCAAACAAATACGAAGTGTTTACAACAGATGGCAGACAATTTCCCCAGGAACTGCACAACATTTGAAAACATGCTTTCTGTGCACACCTCCACTCTCTATCTAGTGCAAACTACCATTTAGAACAAACTATGGCAAACAATGGTGATTTTATCTGGTACAATAGTTACAACCATAATAGAAACAATGGCTAACGATGACAAATTGTAATACTCAGCTACACAACTGCTCTGGACACTTTTGCCTGTCCTACAGCCATCTCCTGCTTGAACTCAAGGTTTCTCAACTTTTAAATTATTAGATATGTCTCTCTTGTTAGGAAGTTCTTCACTTCTAGTTTCTCACCATCTCTGGTGGCTCCTCAGCACCCTATATGTTGTAGCCTTGCATATTGTTTTTCTGTAAGATGCATTATGATTACACCCATCTGAAGGCAATGAAAACCCCAGCTATGCATCCTACAAGTGTCACAGAAACATACAGAAAACCACTCTGCTGGAAGGTACCCAACCCTGCCAGTACTTCGGCTGCTATCCACTGTAATATGCAGTCCAAACCCACCCAGATCACAAACTGCCCTTCCCCAACAGGGTTATGACTGCCCAGGTGATGTGCTGTTGCCCCTTCCTCATCTCTTCAGAGTCTTATTCTACCAGGGTAGGAGCTTGCCATGCCCATTTCAGCCAGGAGAGCTTTCCTATATGCTCCACTTATCTCTTCAGATAATGTATTTTACATATTAGTTCTTATAAACAGTTATCTTCCTTCTTCCACCTGTTTTAATAACTGTTTTCATGTACCCCATGACATGATTCTTCTGCTAACGCAGTACCAATGCCCTGCTTTTTGTAAATGTCATAATGCATTTTTATGAGATGCTAGTGAACTGTAACATTAAAGTGCATTATCTCTGTGTGTTACAGTCATTTTGTTTCAAAACAGTAGTAGAATAAGTACTAGAATTCTGATCTTTCCTTTAAAAGAGAACTTTAAAACAACAGTGGAACCCGCAGATGCTTCACTTGAGGTTAGGGACAGCTAGAAACAACAGTTTCAGCTTCGGGGTCAAGTATCTTTACCTTACCTCAGCATCACCAAGGCAATTCAAATATTATCTTAAACTACAGACAGCAACAAGAGCCTCAATGCTGTCTAGAGACAAATACCCAAGAACTATGATAAGCACCCATGCTTCACAGGAGGGAAAAAAAAAAAAAAAGCATTACTTCATGCTTACAGTTCAGCACACGAATGCCCTGCCAATCAAGTTTTCAAAGTTAGTTTTGTACTTTTCTGTTGAACATGTACAGAAAAATACTTATAAACAAGATAAATAGATACAGCCTTAAGGAAAACAAATCCCTCATATTACCGTTTGACAGTAATGGCATTTACAAGCTCCAGAGGCTTTTTTCTTCTGAAAATACAAATTTGCCTTGGTATTTTTATTAATAAAATGTGCATCACCAAAGGAAACTAAGCAGCAGCTTAAGAAATGCAGACTGAAAACATTTACGTCCAAAAGAAAAACATATGTCTGACAATTCAGCATGTTGCCTGAAGTGTAAATACTAAGATATTTAACTAAAAGAAAGCAACACTTACAAGACAGCAAGAACGCCTAATGAGTGCTCCTGCACATCCAGTGCACCAAGCACTGTATCCAGATGGGAAAGATTTTTTGCTAGCAGTTCTCCGCTTTTATTGATCAGTTCACAAAGCTGGGTCATTTGCCCTGAAATACAAAACACCATTGTCAAACTCTAATTAGAGAGCACTCACGCATTCTCAAACTTCATCACACCTTGCCTCCCTACATAACCTGAGGGAAAAGTAGTATCACACAAGGAATTTACTCTTCTTTAATACCATAGGCATTAGTTTTCCACAAATGAGACACACACCACATGTTTTTTATAAGGTGACAGCTAAGGTTCTGGCCTTTGGGACTGCACAGGAGGCCCTCAGAACACAAACACGAGAAGGGGCATCAGCTCACCTTGTTAGAGAGAGGGCTTCAGGGTCTCGTACCAACGCCAAGTTCCATTTAAACCAAGTCTACAGAACTTTGACCAGCATACTGCAGTGTAAAATTTTGCCTGATGTGGATAAATTTATCTAGACTTGTGCCTTCTAGGTGTTATAAGGTAACAAAGCTGAACAAAATCAAAACTACCAAAAACAGGGTCAGCTGATTTCTAAAATATCCCAATACCAGAGCTTGTTACTTGCTGCTCCTTAAGTGCCCTATCCGCTTTTCAGGTCTGTTCATAAGCCTTTTTTTTTTTTGAAGCGGGCATTAAAATTACAACTAAGTACCTACAACAGAAGGATTTAAAAATCTGTTCTTAAAATTACTTTGCATAATTAAAACTACAGTGTTATTCTATTTGTTGTGAGCTATGAACACAGCATGAAAGGCAACTATTTAGAATTAGGAAGGTACAGTAAGTCCAAAAAACCTTATAAAGAAAGCAGACCAATTACCATGAACTGCTTTCACTCTCTTCCACTTCCCCCCCCCCCCCC